TCTCAGTGTGTGTCCATCTGACCCCCATCCTGTCTCACCTAATTTATGTAAAAGATTTATCCTTGATCTCACCTTCTTCTGTACATTTTCTATATGCTTTTTAAAAGTTATAAAGCGATCCAAGGTCACTCCTAGGTACTTAGGAGAGAGGTTGTGTTTTATTATCGTGTTGTTAATCTGTACCTGAAACTCACGATCCGCTTGTCTGTTATAGAGATGGAAAGCACATATTTCTGTCTTGGACGGGTTGGGATTTAATCTCCACTTATAAAAATAATCGCTCATTATTTTTAGGTCCTTGGTCAACATTTCGTTCCCTGCACCCATGTCCTTGCACTGGTAAGCCAAAGCTATGTCGTCTTCATATTGAAATTTAAAACTGGGCGTAATGGGTAGATCATGGATATAAAGGTTGAATAACGTAGGGGTATTAGGGGTATTAGGGGTACGTATGGGGTTGGATATTCTCCACCTGCTCTTTTTATCCCTCATAAAAACTTGGAATCTGCGATTGGTTAACATGTTTTCTACGAATGTCAATATATTTTTGCAGGGAATTACGTTAGCCAGCTTGTATAACAGTCCATGTCTCCACACCGTGTCATACGCTACTGTAAAGTCAATGAATGCTACATTTGTTTTTAGATTGTTTTGAAAACCTTTTTCATTCAGGGTAGTTAGCGCAAGGACTTGTTTAGCACAACTACGGTTTGTCCGGAATCCTGCCTGTTCAACTGGTAATATTTTCACAATTTCTGGCCGGATTCGGTTAAGAATCAGTCTCTCAAGAATTTTATATGTAGTACTTAGTAGCGAGATTGGACGATAGTGTGTTGGATCAGTAGCCGGTTTCCCTGGCTTAAGGATTGCAATGATTTTAGTCTTTTTGAACAACTTCGGCAAAGTCGCCGTGTCCAAGATGTCACTACAAAAAGCAGCTAGCCATGCTTGCGTTTTATGGCCACTATGCTTAAAAAATTCCGAATATATACCATCAAACCCAGCTGCTTTATTCAGTTTTATTTCTTTAAGTACCATTCTAATCTCGTCTGTAGAGAATTCCGAGCTGTAGATTGCACTTGTTACCATCTCCTTCTTTTTTGACCGTAAGCGTTTCTTAATGTCTGTTTTTTGTTCTTAGTCCATTTTGATCTTGACCACTCTCATTAATCTAGTTGCAACATCGTTAGGACTTACTTTGTCGGTTAGGTTTGTCTTCGAGGTCTCCGCACCTAGCCTCTTTACTAAGTTCCATGCTGTCCTACTGGAGTGTGAGAAGTAAATCGAATAGATTAAGATCGTTATCTAATCGATAAACATTTTGATTTTCATATCGAATGATGTATTCGATGTACCTAATCGAGTAGATATGAATCACTCAATATATCGTGAAAATTCATACCAAGTCTCGTGCGAGCAGTCATACCTAACGCACGCCTTTTCCGTTGCTCCGTTAAACACCGCTGTGATTTCGGTCATATATATTCAAACTTTTCCCAAATTTATGTATGTTTATATTATATATATGCGGATATTATACATATATACATATACATAACGAATGTTATATTTATTATATATATTGGTAATTCTGTTACATAATGTGATCAAGTTCGTTTGTAATAATTCCAGTGTCTTAATTAACATACAGCCGTCGCGATATCGCGAACGCCGTACAAC